GGTTATGTTGAGCTGTCCAATTCTTATGGCTTTGTTTTGTTTATCATGTTTTTTTGGTTTTTTTTTTTTTTATGGCATATCAATCACAGTGGGTTATTTAATGGCGACATGATATATTGCTTGTAATATTTTTCCCAAAATGCATTACTGTTAATAATTATTTACAAAGATGCATTGCTGGTAATATCTTTTCCTTCAAAAATGTACTGCTGGTAATATTTTTTCCAAATATATATTGATCGAAATATTTTGTTTTTCTTCGAAAATATATTGATCGAAATATTTTGTTTTTCTTCGAAAATATATTGATCGAAATATTTTGTTTTTCTTCGAAAATATATTGATCGAAATATTTTGTTTTCTTCGAAAATATATTGATCGAAATATTTTGTTTTTCTTCGAAAATATATTGATCGAAATATTTTGTTTTTCTTCGAAAATATATTGATCGAAATATTTTGTTTTTCTTCGAAAATATATTGATCGAAATATTTTGTTTTTCTTCGAAAATATATTGATCGAAATATTTTTTTTTCTTCGAAAATATATTGATCGAAATATTTTGTTTTTCTTCGAAAATATATTGATCGAAATATTTTGTTTTTCTTCGAGAATATATTGATCGAAATATTCTTTTTCTTAAAAAAATATACTGCTGGTATTAATTGTTTCATCAAAAATTGATTGCTGGTAATAATTTTTTACAAAAATGTATTGATGATATCAAAATCTATTTTTACACTTTCATAGTGTTTGACCCCAGTTTGGGTGTTAAATATTTGCCCATAGCTGGAACCCTAACATGTGCTACCACCATGGGTAAGGGTGGACCTGGGAACACCAGCAATTAAGAGGTCGTTCAACGCTCTTCAAAACCTCCTGATCAGAGGCCTTGCCGTTGGATGTAGTTTATCATCTTAACCAGGACGTCTCATTTGAAGGAGGCGGGTCTTACCCCTATGCAAAGGTGCAGTCGGCGTATTCCGAAGCCCTAGACAACAGGGCGGCCCAATTCTGATATTTTAAATTAGACTTTTGATATGTGATAATAGTGGCATGTTTAGTAGTTCTGAGAACAATGATTAACATCGATTAACACTTAATTCCTTTCTAAAATATTTTAGTTGCAGAAAAAAATATATTACTCATTCCTAATTATTAAAATGTTCTCTTTGTTAAATTTATATCGATATATTTTAGGATATATCTTCAAACATTACATAATCATCATCTTGAGCATGAGTTAATAGAAGATCCGTTTACGTTTTGGCATGAGTTCAAGCTTTGTGAGAATGCAACTCAAACTGTTGCCAACATTAACAGAGCATAGAGTGAAGGATACACTTGCAATCGGACGGTACTGTACTGTTTTCTGAAGTTCCGTAGCGGGGAGACGAGACTTAAAGATCAAGGTTTTAGATAACGCCCACTTACAACTGACAATCAACATCTGAAAACACTAGTCGAACAAAACCCACATGAAAATGTGTAGAAACTTTGTGCATTTATCTAGCGAAACTCAGGGGGAAGGGGGGGAATTCAACTGTAATCTTGTGACGAAAATATAATGAAAGACATTATTTCGTCTTCACAGAAAATTTATAGAAATGGTTTCCAGTCGGCCCTATCTGATTAAAGAGGAGCCAAAATATGCCTATGTGGTCGAAGTGAGATATAAATGTGCAAAAGTGTTACAAGTAATTTTTCTTTCTTCGTTACGATCATGTGCCCTCAATCGAAGCTGACTGGACGGACGTGTTACCAAAACTGTTAATAAGAGTCCTAATGCTTTACTTTCTATCGTTACTTCTACAAGGAGAATTACTTGTAGGCAGCATATAGCGTTTGTTTGTTGCAATTCTTTTTACACTTTTTATACCGCGAGACTCCACCAGTAACAAGTGAGAATTCCACGATTCGTTATCATTTATTTCTTTCTTCGCTGAGTTTCGCTTCAAATGCTAATCTACCTTCCCTTTCCCCAAACAGTCGGACTTGAAATCCCGACCATACGCATACTGACCTTTTAGTTAAATTCTAACACTGGGGAAGAACATTTATTATCATTTTTTTTTTAATCGGGATCACCCCAAGCAAGGCAGTACAGCCAGGAGTTACAAGGTATGGAGGAATTAGAAACAGAAACATGAGTAATGAAGAGAAAGAGAGAAGAACAACCAGGAGGACAGTAGATAGCGATTGACATTGCATTTAAATTTTTGCAGATTAAAGTTGGTTAAACAGGAAGGGAATTTCACAAATGAGAAGTGCGAGAAAAGAAACTGTCAGCATAGAAGTTACGGCTTCATCTAGCTAGCTCAATTGTAAATTTATGAGTTCTTGCCACCAGTTACGTATTGCGCTTAAATTCATGAAATCTAGGTACCATAGCATACAAATCCATGAAGTCTAGGTACCATAGCATACAAATTCATGAAGTCTAGCTACCATAGCAAAGAGCTCATGCAAATAATTACCAAGAAAGTATTTATAAAAAAGGCAGATTTTTTATATCTCTGTTCAAAACACATATGCAAATATGTGTTCGAAGAGAGATATAAAAAATGCAGGAAATAGTTAGCCAAAAGCCGTAGTGGCAGTAATTTTTCTCCCATCGTTACGTCCGTGTTACGTCTATCGAAGCTAAATGAAGGTGTTACCAAAACTAATAATAAGAGTCTTAATTATTTTTTCCAACGTTATTTCTACAAGGAGAATTACTTGTAGGCTACATACAGTGTTTTTTGTATAAATTCTTTTTACTCAAATGACTGCCACCGCGAGACTAAACCAGTAACAAGTAAGAATTCATTATCATTTCTTTCCTTCTTCGCTGAGTTTCTCTTTAAAAGCTACTAGTTGCCATTATAGTTTATCTTCCTTCCCTTTCCACATACAGTCGGACTTAAAATCCCGACAAGTGTCAAGGAAATATCTCATACAGTTGGGTGTCATTATTTCAACACTATCAGAACCTCTGAGAAAATTGGCGAGATGAAGAAACGCGATAAATGGGTTCCATATAAACTCCCTGAAAATCAAAGACTTCGACGTTTTGAACCGCGTCTGTGAAATTTGAATGATTCATTTCTTGAAAACAGTGACTTGTGATGAGAAATGGATTCTTTATGACAATCGTAAACCAATGCCTTAATGGCTTGATCACGACCCAGCATTGAAATCTATCCAAAACCAAAATTGCACCAACAGAATATTATGGTGACTGGTTTTCCGCCATTAGCATTATCTTTTACTTTTTTTGTAGTATCTAACCAGAGTGTTCCCGCCGAAGTTTACTGTCAGCAACTGAATGACAGTCGCATTTAGTTAAATACGACTTAATCGGCGCGGTCAAGTTTGACTTCATGGTAATGCTTATCCACGTGTTGTTGGCAGGATGACAAGGCAGAAGCATATCGAATCCTTATAAAAGGACTTTGCTCTGTCCGCCATTTTCACTTGATGGCTCTTTTCCACATCTTGACAATTTTAAGCCAAATGATTTCTGTTACAAAGATGCTAAAACTGTATTCAAAGATTTCTTGGCCTCCGAGTTTTATCCTAAAGGCATACACCACAGTTCAAAATTAGGAGACACCCGCAGAATTAGCATGGGATGAACTTGACAGAAGAGTGAAAGATTTCCATAAAAAATAAATAAATAAAAAAATGAAAAAAAAAGCTCGTAGAGTTATTGAAAAAAATAGAATCAATTATCAAACTACTACTTTGAGAAACTTTTGCAACGAATGCCAAAAATGTGTGATGCAGTAATCAAAGCTAAAGGAGGATATTTTGACGAGAGCAAAATTTTCATAATTTTTTTTTCTTTTTGTCACAATAAAATTTGTAATAAAAACATCATGTGACACTTTCTTTTTAATCATGTGTAACAATTTTCTATTATTTAAAGTACAAAACAACTACTTTTGGCGCCCATTTCAAAAATTACCAGAGGTGGCCTCAAATTTCCGAACTGCAGTGGAAATGGTAATATTATCCGTTTTCCTTTAAGGAAACATTCGGCTTTCACTGACCGTGCAGCCAGTATTGTTTTCGGTTGATATATATATAAAATCTTTCTCTTTTTAAAAAAAAAAAAAAAAAAAGTGTTTGTTTTTTGTTTTAATTTAGGAAAACAGCTTTCTCTATTCCAGTAGCTCTTACCGCTCTTTTCAAAACTGATGGAGAGTTTCCCACCAAATCATCGAATGACTGATTTAAACACTTCTTAAATACATTATTGCAGGAATAAAAGTTGATTCGAAAATCGGACAATATTATCCGAACACGCTAATCTATCATGATAATGATAGAAATCATGACAGTGCTCGCAACGACTGCAAGTTCAGAGCAACATTTGAATAAACAAAGTATCGATATGAGAAACCAGCTAAATTTCATGTCTGAATATAGTGATTTTCTACGCCCAGCTTAGATGTGGCACAAGACCGAAAGTATAGGGCACCCAGTGAGGATCGAACTCACTACTCAGTCGTAATTGTTCTAGTGAGACAAGCTTTGTAACCATTACGCCACGTCGAGGTGCCCTTTCACGTCTGAATATATGGAGGGGAAAAATATGTGTTTTGATAATTCAATTTTTGATCACGCCGAGATTCTTTTCAGTACACCTTCAGGTAAAAACGTCTTATAACTATGGATGATATATTTAGTGTGTACATGTGTTTGGCCAGAAAAAAAACTACGCTTTCTAAAACAATGAAAACAATGCCTACTGTCCTAGTGATCTAAAGTCTTATTCTCGATCGCCCCACGACTGGAATCAATCCAGTATTTCCTTTTTCTTTTTAACTGAGAAAGCAATCTTGAGCCAATCTTGCTTTACCATTAAGCTACGAGAAAACGTGACAGCAAAATAAGATTCAATTACCTTAACTTAATAAATGAGAACCTCTTCAGGACATTTTGAAATCGCTATCTTGTGTTGATTCACTTACGATATTGGGTCCGTCTTATCTGATTGACCCGATTCTCTGTTAGATACTATACAAGGCTGGCATAGAGAGAGAGAGAAGGAGAGCAAGGCTGACATAGAGAGAGAGAGAAGGAAAGCAAGGCTGACAGAGAGAGAGAGAGAAGGAGAGCAAGGCTGACATAGAGAGAGAAGGAGAGCAAGGCTGACACAGAGAGAGAGAGAAGGAGAGCAAAGCTGACACAGAGAGAGAGAGAGAAGGAGAGCAAGGCTGACAGAGAGGGGGAGAGAAGGAAAGCAAGGCTGACAGAGAGAGCAAGGCTGACAGAGAGGGAGAGCGGGACAGGGAGGGGAGAGTGAGGAAGCAAAGTGGACGGAGAGAGAGAGAGAGGAAGCAAAGTGGACGGAGAGAGAGAGAGAGAGGAAGCAAAGTGGACGGAGAGAGAGAGAGAGAGGAAGCAAAGTGGACGGAGAGAGAGAGAAGAGGAAAAGTGGAGGAGAGAGAGGAAGCAAAGTGGACGGAGAGAGAGGAAGCAAAGTGGACGGAGAGAGGAAGCAAAGTGGACGGAGAGAGAGAAGCAAAGTGGACGGAGAGAGAGAGAGGAAGCAAAAGTGGACGGAGAGAGAGAGGAAGCAAAGTGGACGGAGAGAGAGAGAGAGGAAGCAAAGTGGACGGAGAGAGAGAGAGGAAGCAAAGTGGACAGAGAGAGAGAGGAAGCAAAGTGGACAGAGAGAGAGAGAGGAAGCAAAGTGGACGGAGAGAGAGAGAGGAAGCAAAGTGGACAGAGAGAGAGAAGCAAAAGTGGACAGAGAGAGAGAGAGAAGCAAAGTGGACAGAGAGAGAGAGGAAGCAAAGTGGACGGAGAGAGAGGAAGCAAAGTGGACGGAGAGAGAGAGGAAGCAAAGTGGACGGAGAGAGAGAGAGAGAGAGAGAGAGAGGAAGCAAAGTGGACGGAGAGAGAGAGAGAGGACGGAAGAGTGGACGGAGAGAGAGAGGAAGCAAGGTGGACGGAGAGAGAGGAAGCAAGGTGGACGGAGAGAGAGAGAGAGAGGAAGCAAGGTGGACGGAGAGAGAGCAAGGCGAACAGAGAGAGAGAGAAAGCAATGCCGTCAGAGAGGGCGAGAGACTAAGCAAGGCAAACAGAGAGCAATATATTGAGCGAAACGGGTATATACTATGTGAGAGAGTGAGTGATGCGGGCCAAGACCGAGGTAGAGAGTGTAAAACTGCGTGAAGCGGACGAAAAAAAAAATGAACGGGATGAACGACACTTGCAGGATGAGAATGACAAAGAGAGGTAGGGAGACAAAAAGCGCGAAAACTGAACAAGAGAAAGAGAGAGAGTGTCATTAGTGAGACAGCGAGAATGCAACACCCCCTCTATGAGAGATGTATACAGTGGAAGTAAAGAAATGAGAGAGTGAAAATCAGTAGCATTTTTGACTGATTTCCTGTTGTTCATGAAAACAAATAAATGAATTCAATGATTTAATTGTTTAGCTAATTTCCCTTTCTTTAATCTTCTCTACACCCCCCAACACAGACAATAATTATAAAACCGTTATTTTTAATTACTCTTATTTATGAACATAATGTCTGTGGTCCAGATTACCTCTTTAAACAGTTGACAAAAGACGTCAAATGACCCCTCTCTTATGGCAAATTATTTGTCAAGTAGGAAAAAGTATTGTTTCACGCTTAATCAGTCACAGTTAGCATCCTTTCCTAAATACATAAGGTGTAGCAAATAATATGACCTTTGCCGTTTGATATCATGTAAACATTAAGTTTTGCACAAAAATTATTTGCACTATTATTTATATATTTTTCAGCTGCTTGAGAGCTGTAAATCGTATATTAAGATTAAAGAATTAACACAAATTCCATTAAAATTAGACAAAAACTATGGTACGATGGTTTGGTTTGTGGCATATCAGCCTCAATGGGTTATTTAATGCTGACAAGATTTTTAGTGCTGTAGCTTAGATGTGGCACAAGGCCGAAAGTATGGGGCATCCAGTGTGGATCGAACTCACTTTTCAGTAGTAACTGATCTAGCAAGACAAGCTTGCTAACCATTACACCACGCCGGGGTGCCCTTTTTTTATCTATGTATTTCTCTCTCTCTATATATATATATCTATATAGAGGTTTGGTTTCGTTTACGGCACATCAACCTCAGTGGGTTATTTAATGCCGACAGGATTTTTATTGCTGGTAATTTTTTTTTTTCTCCAAAAATATATTGTCGGTAATATATTTTTTTCTAAAAATGTATTGTTGGTCATATTTTTCTTTTTCAAAAGTGTACTGATGCTGAATAATTTCCAAAAAGTAACGCTGGTAGTAAACCCTATTTTTATAATTTCGTAGTGTTTAGGAAGGGAGAGGAAGAGCTACGATGGCAGCGATCTCCTCATTCCCCGCGGCCCGTCTCCACCGTGGGCGAAGCGAGCACAAAAGCAAAAACCGGATGACGTTGCGGTCGAGGAGGAAGATCGACGCGATCGAGACCGAGGTGAGGAACTATTTGCCCATAGCTGGGACCCTTACAGGTGCTACCACCCTTGGTCAAGTTGGAGCTGGGAACACCAGCAATTAAGATGTGGTTCCATGCTCTTCAAAACCTCCTGATCAGAGGCCTTGATGTCGGATGTAGTTTATCGTCTTACGCAGGATGCGGGTGTAGTTTATCGTCATACCCAGGACCGGTCGTGGGATGGAAAGAAGGACATTGTGTTTCACCAAACTTTCCAGTGGTGAGAGTATAAGAAAGTTATTTTCTGTACAATTGCCTTGAGGACAGTGGATAAAGGCGTTAGTTAGATCCAGTGACAGGACCCAAAGAGTGTGAGTTCAATAACCGGTTAAGGCGGTCAAGAACTTGGAGAGGGGAATTAACAGGACATCCATTAAAATATGGCACGTGAAACTAGAACAGTCTACCCCAGTGAGCGAAATAAAGGGTTCAGTTCGACATTCCAACCACCTGAAGAACGCCGGAGCGTACAACAGCCGAAACGTTGTAATAAATATGGCGACAAAGATGAGGACAATAGTCCGAATAATTTAAATAGTGTACATAACCAAACATTATGTACAAACATGCCAAAAAGATTGCACAATACAACATTTTAATCAATGTCTCTATTGGTTAGAAATTAACATCACTATGGTAAATATTTGACCAATCAGAAAAATCTAAAACCCTATTTTTCTCTTGCCTATTTTCAGGAAATACATACCCACAGACTTCGACCGTCAGAAGCAGAGATGCCTTCAAGCTGCCAAACAAGGCGACATATCTTCATACTCCCACCCAGCGCTTGCCAAGAAAAAAAAATGACTGCTACTTCAAACAAATCTTCGCCAACAGCGACAGTAGAGACGATCAGTGAATCTCCACTTACGATCATGTGTCGGTCATTTCAAACGAGTCATACATAGCAGCAGAGACGCTTGGTGAATCTTTGATGATGAACATCATCTTTTCTCAACTATAGATTTTCTCCGTGGGCCAAATACGCAAAGGCACTAAACTAAACTAAAGACTATTTTTACTTTTTTTTTTTTTTTTTTAAAATCTTGAATTCATGTATATATGTGCGTAAATACGAATGATTTATTTTTACAGGAGTAACCAGATTTTCTTTATTTTTATTTGGTTTAAGTGTTAACACTTAGCAATATTTTCTTTTCTCATATTTAGTATGGGCAATTCATTTATATGCTTCTAAAATATGTAATATATTTGTAAGTTGCTATATATATATATATATATATATATATATAATGGTGGAGTAATGGATAGCGGCTTGGACTGAGGAATCGCAGAGCCGAGTTCCACTCGAATCCATTACATTCACTTACGTGCTAATACCCTTGGGAAAGGTATGCATTCTCTTCCTCCAGCTATGGGTAAAATAGCAGGACAGACTGGGTTCTATAGCCTTGGATAGCAACTGATCTAGGAGAAAGACAACTTTGAATTCAAAACCTGCGGAGGGTCGTTTGGGAACCTTGTGGCATTCGGTGCACCAGGTCTCTGTATTCGTCCCTTCAAAAAGTGTGGATGGTCCTGCACGAGGCCTTCACCACTATAATCAAATCTCGGTGTCGGGCTGTCAGTTTCCTGGAAACTGATTTGCTTGACCCTCATACGTCGAATCTCGACGGGAGAATCGATTATATAGATATATATAACCATCAAGTCACTCAAGGAAGTTAAGCAGGCTTCATCCGAAATCATTCTTATTAAATTATAAAAGAGGGAAAAAACATCAAAAATGTAATAAAGATTGAAACCCTTACCAGAATTGGTTTTGGATAAACTTCACAGAGGAGTTTAAAAAAAAGAATAAAAAGAAAAGAAAACGAGTTCTTAGAATCACTGAAAAAAGAATGGAATAAATTATCCAACTTTGAGAAACTTTTGCAACGAATACCAAAAAAATCGAGTTGCAATAATTAAGGCGAAATGACGATATTTTGACGAGAGCAAAATTTAATCAGAATTTTTTTTCTTTTTGTCGTAATAAAATCTCTCATAAAAAGTCATGTCTTTTTTTAACCAAGTTTTTTTAAGTCCCTTATTCAAAGTACAAAACAAATTATTTTGAGCCAATTTAAAAAAAAATACGAGGGGTGTTCTCAAACTTTTGTAATGTAGTATATGTGATTTTCTCTATGACAAAAAAAAAAAACAACTTACAAATTTACAACACATTACAAGAATCTCTGACAATTTCACGGTTTTCCTCATTAAATTTTCCTATGAAGCGTAATTCATTTCTTAATGCTTGAATAAGTTCCTTCCAAGTTCAGTGACTATGAAATAGTGGTAGAAAATTCCCTATTGTATTGTTAAATATTTCAGCTTATAAACTTAAACAAAATATCGCAATATAAGTCATATATATGAATGCAAGTTAGTATATATTACATATATTTATTTTGTATGAAAATACAAAATGGTGGCACAAGGCAGAAGGAAGTAAGAGGATACTTGCATCAATCGATTAAATTTTCAGGTCATGCAAAGCACTTGATTCGGAAAAACAAAACTTTCTCTAACATAAACCACATGAAAGAGTTCATCGAAAACTTTTTCACATTAATGGCTGTGGAAATTTATGGAAAAGGCATTGAAAAGCTGCCTGATAAGTGGCAAAAAATATTTCCAAAAAATGGGGAATATATAAATAAATAATAATAATTAATATATAAATAAATAATAATTAATATTTAATTAATTAAAATGTCCCTTTACTTTATTTTTGAAGAAGAAATTTCATATAAAAAAAAAAAAAAGGAAATTATTTCTGCCAAAACCTAAAAGATCTGTTTAACTGTCGCATCTTCAATACGCCTTGTGAGTGGTAAAATTTCCGAGCCCTCTAAAATATACGTGAGCAAATACTGGTGGAAACGATCCGGACGGAGAAATACGGTCTTTTTATTTAATTTTTATTTTTTAAATTAAAGTAATGCCCGCAGTGTACATATTGACATGTATTTTGGGGCACCTCGAGGTGGTGTAATGGTTAGCAAGCTTGTCTCGCTAGAACAATTACGACTGAGTAGTGAGTTCGATCCTCACTGGGTGCCCCATACTTTCGGCCTTGTGCCACATCTAAGTTACGTTTGGAAAATCACTAATAACATGTATTTTTGAAAATTAGCATATTCGGTTTATTTACTATTTATAAATTTCTATATGGTCTTATGAAAGTTTACCCCTTTGCCTTCTTCATGGTTTGAAATTCGGAGATTTCTTTCTCTTAGACTAGTTGCCAAACTCGGCTAGAGAACACATTCTACCCTGTTGTTTAATGCATCGCTGGTGGAGGGGGGGAGAAAATATGGATTCATGCCATTAACAGAAGTAGTTTTTACGAAAGGGAACGCAGTATACTAAGATAAAATTTGAACTCGGCTCGCAGATTCCATTTTCTGCACCTTTAACCGACACTGTATTACAGTGTTATATACGTAAGTAAATCAATATATAAAATTCGCGTGAATACTTAAATTATACTAGACACCACGTCCCTCTAGAACGGCAGACGCTTAAATGACATCAACAGAGTTTACGGCACACTAGCTGGCTGCGTCTGAAATATCATTGGGTAATTTCTAATGTTTCGCCATTATTTGAAAGGCACTGATTAAATCTTACATAACAACGCCGATTGGATTGCCTAATTCTCCTTTGCTTGGGTTATTTACATTATTTGGACTGCTATCCCCACCTTCATTGCAATATTTACAAAGTTTCGCCCGTTGTACGCTCCGGTCTTCCTCAGGTGATTGAAGTTTCGAACCGAACCCTTTATTTCATCCACCGGGGT